TTATCATAGAATGTACAGTATCTTTATAAATTTCTTGTAAAAGAAAAAGGAAGGTGCATTTTCATTCCCCTTAATGTGGAGATGAAAGGGCCTGTAATTACCTCTCCATCTTCCAGTTGGAAAGGTGTATTTTGGTATACAGTAACAGCTAGTTTTTGTTTTTTAACTTTGTTTTAGAAACTTTGTTCTAAGTTTCACTGAAAGTTGATCATATTTATGACATAGGATGTAACTCCAGCTACAGATCCTATAAAACCTTTTTTTAGAATTCCAGAAGTTCAGAATTTACTTAGCGAATGTTAATTCCAAGCTTACAGTCAGGTTAATATTTTCCTTACTTTGCTAATTTCTGGTAGAATTTGAATCCTTTCAGGTCTAATCTATTTTGTAAGCCCATTAAAATAATTTTTATCAGTTCTTGTTATAATTTTATGTTTGTTTTTTTTTTTTTTTTTTTGTAAAATGTGTATTGTAAAACTCATGCATTATGTATGGCAGGTGTGTCTAAACTCTCTCTACTTTTGAATTTGCATGAGACCTAGGTATATGTCTTCATATGTCACACAGTCCTGGGGCCACTGTGTGCAAATAAGAAACATATTTTTGCTTATGCCAGCACTTTCAAACTTAAGGAGAGTTAAATATGTTGATGATTGTGTAGTTTTTCTTAGACTGAGGGGAAAAAATGTAATAGTAATTGTGGAAGCTAAGTGATGTCCTGCTCCTGCTTTTTTATAGCTTTCTTTTCCCTCCCTATATCCCTCTCCAGTAACTTTTGAAAGCCATGTCCAATCAATACTGATCTATAAGCATAAGCAGGCAGAAACCTGTTTGTGGTGTTGAAGCTGGGAGGATACTGGTTTCCCTTGTACCTAATTAGAAAGCTAAGCAATTTCAGTCATCTGGAAATCAAGCTGCTGGCTAAGGAGCATGAATTTCTTTGACAAAACAATGTTTCTGTCTCAGTTTGATCACTGGTCTAACAGTTTTAAATGTTCATATTGTGGTGGTTGCTGTGTGGAAACATGGGGAAAAACCCATCTAGATTTCAGGTGCTAGGGAGTGGTTGTTCCAGGGTGGTTGGAGTTGAGGGGGTGTGTTTGCAAAAAAATGGGCCAAAATGGGTTTATTGGAGGATGGCACATGCATGGCTCTGAAAGAATGAAGTAAGTTAACTGGCTTCCAAAGTGTGTTGCAGCCAAAAGAAACAGCAAAGTGTGCAAGCCTCTAATTTTATGCTGACATTTAACAAAAAATAAACCGTATTCTGAATTACATCATTCATCTGCGTTAAATGCTTTAGAAGCAAGTATAAAGCTTACACAGGCAATAATAGCATGCTGAAACAAAGTGTTCATGTCAGAGTGATACAGTGGATTGATTTCAGCTGAAAGTGAGTTCCAGAGCTTACTCCTAGATTTCTCAAACCTTTTAAGTTGACTGTGTAACTTGTTCACTGGCAATCAAGAGGTTATAAAAAGAGAGCCAGCTGATGTTGCAATCTAAGCACTGGCCATATAGTGGAAAGACTCTCCTTTGGCATGTTCACTAGTGCTATTTTTACCTATTCCAGTAAGATCTGCCCTTGTGATGTTAAATTACAGGACAGTACCTGGAATTATTTTGTTTTACAGAAGTGCTGTATGCTCTGAAGAAAATTTACAAAATTGTCAGGCAGATTAAGACTAAAATTGTCTTCCATCTGAAAATACTTTTTCTTCTGTTGCCACAAATAATACCGCTGCTGTAACTGTAAGAGATTCTTTCACTTTTGTTTGCATATTTTATGTCTGGCAGAGGTGTTTTTTTTTTTTTTTAATGTTGGCTTGCTTTGTATGTTGAGTGTTTTGTCTTTCCCAGTTTTTCATGTGGAGACTTTAAATAGGCAATGTGATTTTAAAGGCAGGGAATTAATAGCATAGCCCAGGAAGAAGTGTAGTTGGAGGTTTTTGTCATAACTTCTGAAAAAGCCTAGCTGCTTTAGATTCAGTTTTTATAGTTGATGGTTCCTTCACACAATAGAAAATGAATTTAATACTATTTTCTGGGAATAGATTTTCAGTGCTGCCAGTGACAAAGTGCTGTATCTACCAAACTGATTGTAGTGAAAATGGGAGGGAACAGCAGGAATGCCATAGCAGTATAACCCTGTGGTTCAGCTGCAGAGGTGTCGCATACAGGAGATCACAGATGCAGATGTATGACTGTCTGAATCACAGCACTGAAATGTCTAATGTTTGTGATTACCTAATCTTACATACAATGTTGTCCAGGTTTATTTTCTAAAACTGGCAGCATCTCGGTCAAAAGTGGCATGCCAACACTGAAACACCAACTCTTTTAGTTTTAAACTCTTGTTCTGGCTATTTGTGCAATTAGGAGAATATTCATAGCAGAATTTTTAAGCTTTCAAAAGCAATGGTGTGACACCGAAGCATGATCAGTAACCAACTTGTTTGAGTTTAGCATTCCTCTTATTAAACACCTGCTTCCCTTGCTCCTTCTCTTGCACTGTGGAGTATCTCAGGTGGAAATCCTGCAAGTAGGCAGACTTCCTCCGGTACAGAGTAGTTTTCTTCTCCCTTGGCTTTGCCATTGTGTTAGCTGAACAATTCTATTTCTTGGGTTTAATTGAATCCCACATCTGCAATAACAGCTGGTATTTTTGTCAACTCCTTTGCTTCTTAAATGTTCCTTGTTGCCAATTCTGTTACCAAATGTTCTTACTGATTTTTGTTTTTCGTGGATCTCTTGCCTGTCAAGAAAAAATATGTGATTTTTACTCCCTTACAGCTATTAGTTTGGTTGCAGGGAGAAATATCATACCTGCTTCTTCTTTAACCCATCAAACTTGTTTTATGCTATGCTTTCTCTCCTTGATTTGTATATGAAATTCCTTTTTCTTCTGGCTGGTTTTAAAATAAAAATGCTTTGAGTTTTCAGTCTGTAAAACATCTGCCACTCCCCATCAGTTTTCTGTCCTCTTTTTCATCTAACGTTATCTGTCATACTGACTGGATTAATCTTCCCAAAGTTTGTCCCAGACTCTTTCCAGATCAGTTTTTAACTCTTGTTTTCCTCAGGAACCACTCTTTACAAATCTCCTGACCTCTTAGCTTAATGTGAGGATCATAACTGTATTCTTGTTTTTATCAGTTTTCTAATTCTCAACCTAGCTACTTTAAAAAAAACCACAAACCAACACTTCCCCCTCACCCCCACATGCCTATATTGGTTCCTAGGAGGATGTCTTTGGTCCTCTGCTTATTCTGATGGTTCTTATGGTGGTTTTGATCTTCCCTGGTTTTCTTTGCTTCTCACCCCCACCTTCTTTCTGGTCGCATCACTTTCCACACCTTATTCCTCAGTAATGTCATCTGTTAAAAAATAACAAACAAACAACACCTCCTCCCCCTTGACTCAGTGTGGGTTATTTCTAAAGTATGTCTATTGCTGACTGGTTGTCTTCTGTTAGAACTAAAGATCTTACCTTTTCCTCTGGTGTGAGAAAACCAGAATTCCTTCCTCCCTTCTCCTCAGTCTCCCTGTTTATCTTTTCCTGGGATGGAAACCATATTCACAGTATTTTGTGTGTCACATTCCTAAATGTTTGCTTGCAGAGAGGCACACAAGGTAGTGAGCAGGTTAAATGTACAGTTCAGACTGTAAGTAAATTTTAATTTAAAAATTACTGGGTGTCTCAAGGTGGAGAGCCCAAAACGTTCTTCTGGTTTCTTGTTAGTCTTTAGGAGTTTGTCTTGGGTAAAATCATGGCAGCTCCCCCCTCCCCCAACTGGTCTATCCAGGAGAGAGGATACTTCTAACCAAAAATGAGCTAGCAGTATAAGATCTCTTCTTGAATTTTTGAATGTGTTCTTTCTTGTATTTCATATGAAAAAAAGATGTGAGGAAGCTGGGACTGCTCAGCCTGGAGAAGAGAAATCTTTGAGGGAGATCCTATTAGTGCATATAAATACACTGATGGGAGGGAGTGAAGGAGACACCGGACTCTTCTCACTAGTGCCCAGTGACAGCACAAGGAACAATGAACACAAATTAAAACACAGCAATCTGCATCTGAACATGAAAAGACACTTTTTTTTTTTTTTTTTTTTTTTTTTTTTTACTGTGAGAGTGGTTGGACACTGGAATGGGTTGCATGTAGAGTGCGTATTTGTGGAGATGCTCAAAACCCAGCTGCTGTGATCCTGGGCAGCCTGCTGTACCTGACCCTACCTGAGCAGGGAGGTTGAACTGAATGGCCTCAGAAGGTCCCTTCCAGCCTCAGTGATTCTGTGACTGTGTTGAATCTTTGCCTTCTTTAATCATCCCTGCATGGGATTGATTTAGCAATTGCTAATTAAGATGGGAACTTTGGGTAAGAAAGCATTTTACCATATCTAATGAGTATTTTTGTATATTTGGTTTACACTTCTTTCTTTAACTAATCTGAATTTCCAGTCTTGTAATCAAGATTTCTTCAGCTTCCCTAGAAATTCTTCCTCTTACAGTTAATGCTTGTATGCAAGATACAGATAGCCTTCAGAGGCTGAGCTTCTTATTACATTTTGTTGTTTGTTTGTTTTGGACCCAAGATTTGTCATAACATTTGTGAGTCAGCAAGGTGTTTCTGTGTATAAGTGAGGAACTGATGTCTGAGAAGAAGGTATTCAACTCATACTTAATTTTTACTTTAGTGGGTTTTTAGCTGTAGAAGATTTTTATGATGTTATTGAATGAGATTACATTGAGCTGGGGTAGCATTTAGTTGTCATGCAGTCTGTCCTTACATAGTGCATCTCACTACACTGAAATGTTGCATAAAAGAATTAAAGGCTTGAAGGCCCTGAAAGCTCTTAGCAGTAGAAGGATTGTAAGTTAAAGGTACTATTGATGTAATTCACAAAATAATTTTTATTGCTATTAATTTGGTATGTTGTGCATGCGTATAAGTTTGTCTGTTAAAATAGTAAATATCTTCTCTTTTTGTGTTCCCACAGATGATGTGCTTCATCCTTTTATTATAGGACTTCATTTGTTTAAAGGAAAACTAAAGGTATAAATAACATTCTCTGGCTATCTTTCCCTTCCTCCTTACCCTGCCCCATTCTTTCTTCTGAGGTCTCTGGGTCTGTCCTGGAGAAAAGGAGACTTACCACAACTGAGCTTTGTGCTTGTATTCCTTCACTGCTACTAAAATTTGCTTTTTGTTTTTTGAAAAAATCCACAAAATTGGAATGATACGTACGGTTGTTTAAGTGTTTGCTTTATCAGAAGTGTATGTTTAACTTAAGCTATTACTTTAGTCAGACTCCATGTATATTTACTTTGCAGGGAGAAAGCCCCTCCTCAGTGTAGAACTTTAGATCTTGATATTTGCCTGTCTTCTCCAAATAGCATCTGCCTTTCCACACAACTACAGATCTGTTGTGAATAATCCAGACCAAATGTAGATCGTGTCTGTGACAGTATCTTACAACTGGTGTTGGGTTTTTTGTTTGTTTGTTTGTTTTTTTTCTCAGATTGTACCTCTGAAACAAAAAGTCTGTTATGGCACCTTGTTAAATAAATAAAACCCCACCCAAACCAGATCTGTAATTTCATGGATGTATTTAGTAAGATAATGTCAACTAGAGTTAACATAGAGCATAATTTCTTTTTGGAGACACTCGAGACAGTAAATATTTGACATAGTCTAAGTAATTTTGTGTGTATACAATCTGTAATTTCTAATTGCATTCATTTTTATTTGCCATTTTATGCAGGCTTCTTTGCAAAGACGAGTGCATAGAAAACAATAAAATAAAGTTGGTAGAGCTGTCCAGGCTTTTTGTAACTAAAATACTCAAGTAGTATCATGTTAGATTTAGTTCATATTGCAGAAACATATGTTGAGCTGTTCCCAGGTGCACTTTTTTGTAAAATATAAGGGAGAATCATTTGTTCTATCTTCTCACAAAAGTATCTCAAGGCCCCTTCCAAACTTTTCTTGGTGCTGTTGCCCCTGTTCCCTGCCCTCCCTCCCCTGGTCTGTAGGTTGTTTCCATGTCCAGGCTCTTAGAATTGGAGTATTGACCTCACAGTGGCACTGCTGGTTCTGGCACAGAGCCCACATTTAATAAATTCAATTTATTAGGTTAAAGCTACCCTGAGTGAATGCAGAGAACACCTAACTCTTGAATTAGCTGGATTGCTGCATCCTGTTCTGTCTAACTACAGATAATCTAGCATTGTCTGGTATTTTGCAATGGTATTTTAACAGTAACTGTGGTATGTCTGAACTGTACAGCTCGCCTGCATAACTGGCAGCTCCCAGCAGTTAGTTACTTGAATAACCTAATCTCAGACTGTGTTCCTTTTCAGCAGAACTGAGGTTGATTTAAAGACTGGTGTGTCCTCAGTGTTACTTCATTTACTACATGCAACTGAGGGAGGACAGAGCCAGTAATCCTTTGTGCCGAGATTCTCAGTCACTTTTGTTTAATCCTTGAGAACTTGTGTGGGAAGGGCATTTGGTGGATTGCTGACATTTGAGTAACTTTTTTATCCTTGATGTAAAGTGGATGAGTTCCAGGCAACTGTAAACACAGTTTGGGGCTTTCATCCGCACTTGAAACAATTCAAGCATGAGCAAGTTCAGAATGCAAATAGGCACGTGTCTGGGAATGCATGCACAGTTGATTGAAAGACTTGGGGGGAAAAAAGTGCTTGTCCAGAGTGTCTTGTCTGTGTAATGTCATTGCACAGGTAGACTCACAGCCCATTTCTGCAGTGCAAGGTCTGCTTTACAGATTTATCTTTCTGTATCTTTCTTTGGAGGATTCTGCTGTGAAGAATGTAGAATTATTGTGAAGAAACAAGAAGTCAAAGCATGACAAGAATGTCATATGATTGTGATACAATCAGATATAAGAAAGCAGCGTTCAGTATGCTTTTTATTTCTAGTAACACATTTGAATTTACCAAATTAAAAAATGAGAATGTCTTAAATATCACTTCAGCTTTAATAGCCTTCATACGAGAACACATTTAAAACATTGAGTGATGACCTATAAAGATTTATCAGTTTTGATTATAAGATAAAAAATATAAATTATTATAGTAAAAAGAGTGGAGATTGTACTTTATGTCATGGAGTTGTGGAGCTTTGTTAGCAAAGCTTGTACAAAATGTATGTGCAAAATGTATGTACTTTCCTGGCTTGCCTTTTCCGTTCATAGCTGTTTTAATAGCAATTTTATAAACTTATTTTGGTGAAGCTATATAAACTCAGCAACAATACTTAAGGAAAATTTTTAAAAGTCTTGATAGAATGCTTGGAAACACCTGCTGCATTTTTCTTTTTACCTGGAATTAGTTTTTGCTTTGGGAAAGGGAAGGATTTGGATTCTATATTCCTTTGTGCTCTTCTAGAGACAAGCAGTGTTCAGTGCTTCTGTTTCTCTAATTAAGGAATTAGGTTCTGTAGGGAAACTGTAGAGCTCTGCATGTGAACTTGAGAGAAATTTCATGTAGAAAGAAATGAGTGAGTGAGATGGGAATGATCTGTGTGGAAAGGACAAACAGATCTTCTAAAAATTGGTTATGAAAAGTAGCCTGGAGCTGTTCCCATCCCCAAAGGAGAGCAGGCACAGAGCAGACAAAGGTGTGCAGATAGTTTTGGTGACAGATACCTACTAACCAGAGCCCAAAGTACAGCCTGCTACAGCTGAGTAGTATGACTTGATGCATGATTACTAACAAAAGCTTTACTCTTAAATAAAAAAAGGTGTTAATCTTGCAAAGAATTAATCAACCTGAAGGCATGTCAGACTGAGAGTTGTATTACTTGTGCCCTCCTTGCTGTAGAGCCCAACTGTTGCAAAACCAATGTTTTTTCCTTAAGTGCTTCAAAGTTACATTAGCAGCATGCAGTAGTGACTAAGAAAGGAGTGGTTCAGAGAAATAAAGATGAGAAAAGATACCTCCAAGACCAGAAGAACTGAAGCAGTAGTTATATGTGTAATCTTTCAGTATTAGTTGGTTAGTTTTTTTGGTTTGGTTTTGTTTTTTCTTTTTCCCTGAACAGTAACATTTCCTCCTGTGGTTTTTTTTTTTTTTTTTTTTTTTTTAATGTCAGTTCTCCTAGGAGGAGCTTGCTTTTTGGTGTCGATATTGTAAAATGAAGGACATTCAAAGGTAGAACACCAACCTGGTAGACATATGAGAGATCTTGGGTTGTTAGACTGATCCTAACTCATGCCCTGCATTTATGTTTAGTACACATGTATCACAGCTTTATTTTAATATAGGAATGGGTCCTTATTTATGTTCTACTGCTATGAAAAGCTACTTTTAAAAATACTGCTATATATCACAATAGATACTTGTTTGCTGGGGGTTTCTTTCTGTTTTTCCCCCAAACAACTGATCACCCGTTCAATATTAAAGAACTTGAGAACTACAGATAGGGAGGGGAATTGAGAAAAGACTACAGTTGAATGTATTATTCATCTTTTTGTGTCAGAGATGAGAACTTTTCTTGCAAGCAAATTCTAAAGCTTACATTTTCTAACAAAAGTTTTAATTTTTAAATGGATTCTGGGTTTTGTTCTGTGGTGATTTGCCTTTGCATATGTAGTTCCTTAGACGTAAGTATGACTATTAATTGGTTGTGTGGATAAAAATGACAGAATGTGTGTGTGTTGGGAAGTGGAACTACATTTACATTTTCTTTAAAAGTTTTTGGTGTTTGTTTCAGAAATAAAGGAAGGGCAAGGCACCTAAGCTCTATAGTGAGAGGAGTGTAGTTTTGTATCCTGTGAACTTTCCAGCTTCTTCATTAACAGTTTCATCATTCGTTAGGGACACAGACAGAAATTTTTAACAGACTAAACACTTTTGCTGGTCATGGAAAAAGTTAAAGTAACTTAAAGTATCATTCGTTCATATCCAAAAGGTACAAGTGAATGGTCTCTAGGAATTTGTTCTTGTCAGATGTGCCCATGGCATAGCTGGTTTGTGCATTTGATTTTAATGCTTGTTCAAATGACTAATTCTTGAAATGTGTAACCTATGCAAAAAGTACTATTGAAAAGTGCAGTCCTGGTCACAGTGTGCAGTGTACCTGTGGGAGGTGGGGGAATAGTGTGAGATTTTTCTTCTGCTTAGATTTAATCTTTAATATTAAATGAATCAGTATCAGTTTTCTAGCAGTACTTGGTCTACAGGGGGACTGCGGTACTTTAATATCAATCTTAAAATATTATTCGAATGCTGCTGTTGCAGTTTTTCAATTGTAGACAGGCTGCTTGAAGTCATATTCATGAAAGTGAAGAGTTGAAGGAAGAAAAATGTCAGAAAGGTACATGAAAACATTCAGCTGTCTGTGGATTATTTGAGCATTGCATAAACATAAATCTTGTATCTGGTAATGATAATTTTTCAGAAACATGCTTGTAGCTCATTTAAACATAGAAAAGCTAGTTCTTCTGGAATAGACGAACTAAGAATTATGTATTTATGAAGGTATCATTGTAAAATCTTTCCTCCTTTATTTTAAATTAAATTTCTCTTTAGAATACATCAAATATCTTTTCACTGGAGTGAATTGGTGTGGATCTCGAGAGAGTTGGAGAAAATACGTGATTTTATATTTGTTTTGGGTTTTTTTTGTCAGTTCAAAGCTGGTCAAGTAGTTGCCATGCTAATTCTCTTGTCTCATGTATGTAGTGACCTGTTTGACTTCAAAGTGGATGTTTTTTGATATATTCATATAATTTTTTTAAGCTAGCTTTCTTTACACTAGAGGGCAGGGGAAAGATGGAATTAATTTGTAAATTACTTCTTAAGAAGCAGCTTTTATGACTGTCTCTGTTCTTCCATGATAATAATTAGGAATGAGAGCAGTGACTAGGTTTGAGAAGTGGACATGTCCAGTGGCTGCCCATGCGGTTTCAGAATTGACTAGACTCCTCTTGGTCTGAGTGAAGAGGTATTTCTGAGGACCTGGAGCCTCCTCTCATCCCACATGAGAGTTGCCTCTGAATAGTTGCAAAAGTCAGCAGCAAGACAATTGATTACTGCTGTTTCTTCCACAAGCTCCATCCCACCAACTGCATGCCCTTGTACCATGGATGCCAAGAGCAGCGTTAGCAACTTTTCATCACGGCTCTCCCGTCTCTTCCCAGAACACTGCTAATATCTTTTAAACTTCCCTTTCTTCTCTCTTACCCCTCTTCCCTCAAGCCGCCTGCAGTATTTTGTCCACTCCAGGCCAGGTCTGAGCCCAGTTCTCATCTTCTCCCATCAGTGGTGGCTCCTTCTTGAAGTGTGTCAGTAGAACCCATAGCCTTCAGTTTAAGCATTATGGAGAGCTAAGGATGGCATGGTTTAAATTTGCCTGCTGAGTTGAGGAGGTGATTTCATTTTCTAGAGAAAGAATATTTAACATCTGTGAGCGAACCCAAGCAGCCAAAAAGATGGCAAAAGTGCACTGCTGAAGCACGGTGGTAAGAGAGAGAGGGCATTGCTGGAGGAGAGGATTGTACCAAACATACAAAGTCCTGAGAATATCCAGCATGAGACAAAGATCCTAGGAAGGAGAAGGATGCAAGTGTGTAATCAAAGATACAATTGACATTTGTATTGTACGGAGGGCTGATCACAGTTGCTCTCTCTGTTTTTCTGACTGTGTACAACAACTTCAGAGTGTGTTTCTGTGATCTTTCCTAGAAGGCTGTTCTACAGCATGCGATAGGCCTTTCATATTCAGACGAGAGAACACCATTAGAGCAGGGAAGTACCTTTTTTGGTATGAAACTTTGCTTTCCTCAAGGTGCAAGTTTGAATTTTTTTGTCATTTCCTGTTTTCTCTTGAATTTTTCAGGAAATGTTGGCAGCATGTCAAAGTATTAAATTTAAAGGCTGTAACATTAGGGTGTTGTCAACTTACGTGAGCAGAGAGACAGCAAGGAGGTTTTGATGGTTGCCCCACTATTCCTTGTCTCAGCTTACACAGTAGAGCAATCTAGTTGAGCGCCTCTTCTTGTTTTGTCTCATGTGTTACCAAGAAGGGAGAAATAAAGTAGGGTTCCCCATAGTGGGTAAGTTAAGAGGAAAGAGAACAAGCTGTCTGGGTTTCGTTCTACCCCTCTTATCTAACAGTTTATCTCCACTCTGTTTTTATTGTTACTGTTTAGCAAGTTACTCTCTTAGCTGTTCATATGCATAATATGGTTGTTAGAACTGTAGTAACTTTTTTCACCTTTCTGATTTGTGACAGTAGAGCAATAAGTGAATTGTGAGATTGTTGTAGTTGCTTTTGCATGCTGAACTCAGTTGTATTCCTCAATTTCATCTCCTCTCCTCCCTCCTTTTTTCAGAATGTCTCTGTCTTCTCATTCCTTGTTCCCTTTCTACATCAAATGCAAGACCGTTGTCATTTATGTGCAATAGATTTTTAAAAAAATAATAATAAGATCCAAGTATCTAAATCCTAATAGATTTTGATTGGGTGTTGAGTTTTAAATCTTCTGACGTTTAAATAAATGTTAAACTTTTAAACTTTAACATTTGAACAACTAGACCTGCACAACTGACAGCATTGGTGCAGGAATGACAGCGATTGGCAGGAGGGGAGGAGAGGATATGTGTGTTCTCACTGTATATGTTGTCAGTGAAAGAAATGTTCATGAAAGGACGAAAAGATCGCTTTGTAGCAGAGAATATAAGAGGCTTAGAGTTCTTCTGCTGCAGAGTTTGCATGCGATGGTAGATGCTTCATATAAGCCAAACCTTCTTTAAGTTTGGTGTTACATATTTCCTTTCTAGTTACCAGGCATATCTAGGTTTTGGTCTGTAACAATGTTCAGTACTTAGGAATCTAGCAAAGGCTTCTTGGAGTTGTGCTGTGAGTGAAAATGGTCTGACATTCAAAGTTTATCTTTCAAGGCATCCCAAAATGGCCTCTTAGTACTAGTAGAGATTTTTTTTTTTTGATGAATTCCAATACTTTAGCTCTTCAGCTGTAACAAACACTGTTGTCTTTTCTCTGACATAAGCATATGAAAGTGTGAGATAAGAGGAGCTCCTTGGGTTGTGGGTTTTTTGTTGTTGATTTTTTTGTGTTTTGTTTTTTGGTTTTTGTTTTAATTTGGCATGGGTGCTACACAAAGGGACATGAGGAAATGAATTGAAAGGTTCAAATAATTTGCAGCAAAGGAGATGCAGGACCACACATGAAACGAGACTTTATTAGATAGCGATACGTGTTCAGTAAGAGAGTGTTTTGTATTATGTACTGAATTAAATTATTAGTGATTTCAGGGAAACAGTGTAGGTCTTTCAGTGCAAGTCTTTCCTGTATCATAAAGGAGTGGAATAAGGATTGCCTGGAAGACCTTGATTTTGGCATTTCCCAACTGTTTTGCTTTTTGACTTTGCAGCTTTAATATGACTTTCTTTACCTTTCATAGAGGTGATCAGGGATATATGTGGTGTGCACAACCCCTGAAGATTAATTTGGAAACAATCTCCTAACATGGCAAAAGATAAGCACTTGCACTGTGTAGTTCTTCACAGCAGTTTCTCAGATGTTTTATGAAGGAAATTAGTTAGGAAATTAGAACTATTTTCTTATTTGCTTATTTTCACTTTTTTATTATTCTTTTTGAAAGCTTGGTAATTAATCTGGCTACTTGGAAATTTAGCAAGGAGTACATTTCACTGTTCAGAAGTGTTTCAGACTTTGTTTTTGCTTATTTTTGTATAAAATGCATTTGGAGTATAATTTGGAGTTCAAGCTGCATTGAAGTTGTGATAGCTGGGGAAAAAAATACACTGATACCTTTATCTTTGTCCCCGAGTGTGCAAAAATAGTACTGTGTGTTGATTTGGAAGTATGCAGAGGGTTGGTCACATCCCTGCACTGTGAGAGGTTTATGGTGAAATGTAACTGAGCACAGTGTGTATGGGGTTTCTGAATTTTTTTTTTTTTTGCTGTTTCACACTATGTGAATTGTGATACTATTAAAATGTTATGTGTTTTGTTGCACACTAACAGTATTAAACTTGCTACCCTTTTCTAAGAAACAAAAAGAAACCAACAACCAACCCCCCACAAACCCCAAACAAAAGCCTCAAAATCAGTGATAAAAATGGAATTTCTTCAATGAATGTCTTTTATTGTATTCTGGTTGGGCCTTTTTGTTAACAGTGCAGTCTGTGCTAATGCTTGCATGCCATATCTAGCTTACAGGACTATTCTTTTGGCCTGCAGCTAGCATCTAGCCACCTTTCTGAAGGCCCTTCGGGCATTGACTATGTAAATTAACATGATGGTAAACTGTTCCTGTGACACCAGAGGTGCAGTGAGAGGAGTTACACATATATTACTGATGATCTGTATGTCAGGAAGTCAAGTGCTTTCAAGACTGAGGCTAATTTTGCATGTGTGGATGAACTGTATGCTATATGTGTAGGTTGATCATGTCACAAGGGAGAAGGCAGTGCAGTTTTCAAATGCTTTCAAAAGATGCTGTGAGGTTTGTTGTCTCAGGAAGAGAGCGCACCACTTCATAGCGAAGGATATAATAATTTTCCCTGACTGTCCATTTTTGTTTTTTAGACCGTATCAATGGAGCACATTCAGGGAGCTTGGAAGACTATCAGTAACGGCTTTGGACTCAAGGATTCTGTCTTTGATGGCCCAAACTGTATTTCACCTACTATCGTCCAGCAGTTTGGTTATCAACGCCGAGCATCTGATGATGGCAAAATATCAGATACATCCAAAACGAGTAATACTATTCGTGTTTTCTTGCCCAACAAGCAGCGCACAGTGGTAAGTCTACATTACCTTTATGTTAGAAATGTACTGTTCCCATTGCTAACACTATGACGTATCTCTGGCAAGGGAAATGCCAGGCTTCACAAAAGGTCTTACTCTAATTAAATGTGTTGTCGTCAGTTTGTTAATTCTAGAGGACGTGTTTTGAAAGCAGTGTATCTGTATTTTGAGAACCTGTATTTTTCCAGTATATGTGAGCAAGATACTTCGCTCACATGTTTAACATTCAAAGGCAGTAGTTGGTTGCCCTAAACAACGATGCCTGTATGAAGTAAAACATGTAGTCATCTCTGTCACCATTTTCTTCACTTGGGTGCCCACAGTGAAGTATGGTAGTTAAAGCTGAAGTGAAACTTCTTGGGGGAACTTTTCTATTAGATTTCTTGGAGCTGAGTGTACTAATAATAGTCTTACTCAAAGTCCCCTGAAATCTAAATTAAGCCTTTTTCTATACTTGAGGTAACTCCATTTGTCTGCATTTCTGTTACTTTTATAGGCTACTTACTTGTATGAGGGATGTATAAAATCCTGTTTCACACAAACTTAGTAGTTGTAAGAAATCAAAAAGTTATAAAAGTATAGCTTCAAAACTTCCTTTGCATAAGTACACAATAGTTATGCATATGGCAGGAAACATGTCTGCCTGATGGGTTGGTTTAACGTGCAGCGAGTTAAATCGGAAAGCATAGCAGACTGGTGTTACATCATACGAGTAATTTTTATTTATCTTTCTATTAACTTCAAAAGTGAACAGCTGTGCAGTTTTATTGGAACTTCTAAGCAAAAGGGAAAAAAATTACTTCCTACCACCACCACCATCAACACCCCCTCACCCCCCCAAAAAAAGCTAAAAGAAAGTCTGCAATCACTGCCTACATTTTTTTTTTTTTTTTTTTTTCATTTGGTCACAGGTAAATGTGCGAAATGGAATGACCTTACATGACTGTCTTATGAAGGCACTTAAAGTCAGAGGTCTGCAGCCAGAATGCTGTGCAGTTTTTCGACTTCTTACTGAACCAAAAGGGTAAGAGTCTGGAATGTTATATGTGAAACTTTCAACTAGAGAATGTAAAAATCTTGTTTTTAGAATAGCAGCAATGATGCTTGCTTCCTCTCTCTTGCTAGTTTCTTTTAAAAGCCCAATCTGGTTGTGAACACTTCCATGTTGCTTTCTTTACCCTCCTCTGGGGCAGCTCCTTCAGCTTCCTGGGTATTAAAAATTTTATTTTTGTTTTAAAGCTAAATATTAAAAATGTTAAAAGTCGACGGGTACACTCAGGTGCTTGTAGCATCTTCCAGAGGCTTTTGTCATACTTAGATGAAATGATGCCTTCATGTTTGAGGTGCATTTCTCCTCTGCATTTGTACTTGGTAAACCTCAGTGCTAGTGGTTCTTAGCCAACTTAAATGAACGTCTCCTCTGTGTGCTCAGTTTTAAGGCTCTACATTCCTCTACAACTTTTCAATGTTTGGATTTAAATCTCACTTCAGATATTCCTTATTTTTTGTAGGACCGGGGATGCTGCTATTAAATACCAAATGATTCTTTTACAAGCTGAGGGAGTGAAGGTATCTCATGGAGTTAATACATTTAACTTCACACCTCGTAAGGCTTGGGCTTAATGCTCTTTTAAGCCTCAATTATGAGGCAGTCATTTGTGGGTTTACATCTCTCTGTAACTGAGTCCATTCTGGGGTCACCAGTAACTTTAGTGCTGAAGCATATAATACGGCTTTCATGTCACTAAGTGCCATTCATAATTTCTTATGTTTTGTTTATAAGAGTATTTCTGTGACTCTATTACAGCTTCTAGGTGTCTTATTTAAAATAATCTGTATATCTAAATGACTTACACTTTAAAAAATAAACAGAAGAAGAGGTGAATTGCTCTGTTTTTAAAGTTGCTTCTAATTTTTTAAGTGAAAGACACTGAAATATAGCTCACAATAAGGTTAGCCACGCATTTTTGTATTTGTTTTCAGTTTACTCAAGAAAACTCACAAAACATAGATCATTGATTAGGCCAGGCTTCTTATCTCCTAAGTAATTTTGTTGTCCCCATTTTCTTTCTTTCAGAAAAAAAGTGCGTTTGGATTGGAATACAGATGCTGCCTCCTTGATTGGAGAGGAACTGCAAGTGGACTTTCTTGATCATGTTCCACTCACTACACACAATTTTGTAAGCTTTTTGTCATCTGTATTTTGATGTAAATTGTATCAATTGAACCACATATTCAGTCAAAGAATGTTTTAGGCATTAGGTACCTTTTGGCTTTCTAAACACCGGGGGGGCATTTCAGAAGTGATGATTCGAGTCCTTCACCCCTACTCCCCACAAATTAGATTGGCTAAATATCAATTTTGTAATAAAATGTCAGAATTCTAGTTACATTTAGTGATTCCTAGGTGTCAGAGGCTTTAAAAGTTCACATTCTACATATTCTTCAACAGCCCAATGATTGCCATTTTTATTTTATATAAATATATATTTCTGTAACTGTTGTATTCAAAATCCAGAACTGGGAGATAACTTGTGTTTCAGTCTCTGGCTCATCAGTCAAAAAAGACCGGATAAGTTTGGCAGCTTTATTGGACTGTTGGTAATTGTACTGAATGTACAGGAGTGCTGTTAATACTGCTTTGTAATTTGACAGTGTTTTTGGCAGGGGGGATGAAAGACTTAAGATTTGTAGTTTCTTCTCAAAAATGGATTATTTGCTCAGTAGAGAGCAAATACAGAGCTGCTTTTTTTTTTTTTTTTTTTTTTTTTTTTTTGTACAAAGAGATAATGCCTACCTCTAACAGTTTTACCTTGTATTATTTTGTTCTCCCTGGGAAGGAACTCGATTCCTATATTCTAGCCCTTTTGTTGTTTTGTCCCAGAAATATGTTGAGCAAAGTGGCAAAACTAAAGGATTATCATTTTCATCCATTAGAAGGGTTAGGATTGATTTACAGAAACTGAAAGTAGCTTTGCTTCTACTTTACATTTTTAGAAAACTAGAAACAAAGTTGTCTTCAGTTGCTCACCAGAAAACTAATATTTTTTCCGGATCTGGAAGAAGCTCAAACTTTGAGCCTTCTTCCACAGTATGCTCCAGAGGAAGAAACCTTTTGGTTCATTTTAATCTTTTTTTCTTGTCTTTCAGAAGCTTTAAAAAAATGTAGAATTTCCTTAGTCTGTTTTATTTACTAATGGATGTATTTCTTATGCAAGGGGTATAGGTTAGTCATAAACACACAACAAACATTTTGACTAATAAAATAATGAGGCGGTTCTTACAATCTGATCTTCCTTCACCTCCTTGGTGATGCTAGAAACAAACAGAACCCACAATTCTTGGCCCACGCAACTCTGTCACCTTATGGAGCACAAAACAGTGCTTTTGAATTTGAGAGAACACTTTTATAAATAATTGGGTAAACAAAGCCCTAAACGTTTGTAAACCTTCCAGGTTTTCAACCAAAGTGGAAATATATGCAAGAATACTCAAGTGTGGTTTTAAATTCGTTAGCACTTTGGGGTCACTGATAACATTTTAACATGATATTTATTTATGTTAAGCTCTGAAGATGTTCATCAAAGCTAATGAAGAGAAGCTGGTAGCTTGGATTAATCATTTAATGTGTTTTCTAGGCTCGGAAGACGTTTCTAAAGCTTGCTTTCTGTGACATCTGCCAGAAGTTCCTGCTCAATGGCTTTCGGTGTCAGACATGTGGTTATAAATTCCACGAACACTGCAGCACTAAAGTTCCAACCATGTGTGTTGACTGGAGCAATATCAGGCAACTCTTGTAAGGACAGTTCCTTTTTAATAGCAATGGTAGTTCTCTGACAGACAAGCATCGTTTTTTTCCAATCTCTTATCATAGAGCTAAATTTGGATTGTTGGGAAGTGTAGTCCCTTTCATCAATATACAGAACTTGTGTATTGATTTCATAAAACAGCCAGCAATGATTGTCTGTTGCCAGGTGAAGAAGGCCGTTTACATTAAATGCGTTTTGTTCTTGCTGTGAATTTTAATATTCTGGAAGAAGCAAACAAAGATCTTGAGGGACTAGGCAGTTGCTGTAACGCCCTCTGTTTCAACAGAGTAATAGTAATTCCTCTCACATAACACTTTCGCTAGAAGACAAAAAGGTCATGGTTCAGTTGTTTTTTAGCTGTTGGAAGCAGGAGTGTTTAGAACACCCACAACTTTAGACACCCTGTTTAAAATGCATGGAATAGTCAGAAAAATGATGAAGGATAATACTTTCCTAATATTGATTAGAAAAAGTTGAAAATCATTATGTTAGAAGTAGTCCTTTTATGCAAAAGTATTAAAACCTGTAATTGATTTTATGTCTTACTTAGTGATTGTCTTTTTTATAACTAATCTTGGTCATACAGCTATGCATTTTCTTACACCGACTAGTCGTTAGATTGTAGGATGACTTGTGCCATTTGGTGTCACCTGGGTTTAATAGAACTTAAAAAAATTGGTGTTGAATAGCCTTTGAGGAAAATCTGAAGTCTCATGTGAAAAGATTGGTTTCTTAGGTTTAGAAAGAACACATGGAAATTTTCTTCGGGGGTGTGAAGACGTAGTTTTTAGTCATACCATACATAGAGGAAAAATACTATGTAGAGGTAGGAATGTGTTCATGAAGTTAATTATGCTGGAAAGAAACAGCCCTTGAAATTTTCAGCTTTAAAGAGCATTGTACAGGAGGTAGTGTAGCAGTTGAAATTGTAATTGTTTTTGTTGATATTTCAGATTGTTCCCAAATTCAAATATCAGTGACAGTGGTGTCCCTGCACTACCTCCCTTGACAATGAGACGGATGCGGGAGTCTGTCTCCCGGATACCTGTTAGGTAAGCTAGTATTTCCTGTCATTTCTGTTTTGGGAAATACAGTTGTTTAAAAACAGAAAAACCAAAACACCCCCAACTCCTCAGAAATAGAACAATCTTACAGAAGGTTGGGGTAAATGTGCAAGAAGGCAACACCACTTCATCATAGATAATATGTAGTGTTCTTTCTTGATCTTAGATTCAAGCAAAACATTGATTTGGGATTTTACATTTTTAATTTTCAGTCTTAAGTGAAGGAATTTTAAGGGAGGGTATTAAAGGTTTTTCTGGAGACCTTTGTTTTTCTGCCTAAGAAGATTCAGGGCTCCCTTTGGTATTTTCATGAATAAATTTTATTTTATCTGACCAGGTAGCATACACGTAAGGGTTTGTGACTTGTTTTTCATTACTCGCATACATAAACAGCAATGACTTTATAATGTTATGATGACAGATAAGTTTAAAGAGAGGACAGTGGAAACTGAAAATACACTACTCTTAAAAGAAAATTCTGGGACCTAAAGAGAATGGTCCTGTAGTTTTAAATGCTAAAATAAAAATTGCTTTCCTTTCAAAGGGGCCTGTCTTCTGATCCTAATTTGTGCCTGTGTTTTTTTCCTTGAAATTCTAGAGGCTGAAGAGGGCAGGCCATCTTTTGTTTTTTCTACATCCCTTTGAAAAATCTTGGCCTATTCAGGAATGAGGCACAGATCACGTAGCTGACTTGCAAATGGTTCTATGTATTTATTTATTTTCTTTAGTGGGAACTGCATCAGGAATTGATCTTACATTCTCTTTGCCATCTTATTCTATTTCTAGTGTTGCTGAACAATGACTCATTAACTTGATAGCTTTTTTTAAGCTTTTTGTGAAGGCTGGATAATTTCAGTTAAGATACTTGTGTGATTTGGGATAAATAAGGTTAGAATGACCTTAGCTGTGATTTACAACTCTTTGTTGAACTGGATTTTATTGTTGGCCTCCTTTTAACTGGTATTGGATTTCATGACTTTCTTGCTGGCTGTTCTGTGCGAACCATTGAACAGTCTTGCAAACCTTTACAAATTCAAGGCGTAACAGTAAAAGCAGCCCTTAAGCTATGCATTTAACAGGCTTAAAATGAACAGTTTGTTTAAATTTCACAGACCTGAATTAATCCAGCAGAGCCAGTATTTTATCAGTATATTAAATGTGATTTGATGGGGAGTGAGGTGAACTGTGGCAAAATTTATAATGGCAAAACCAGGCTTCCTTTAAACACACTAGATAAGTGAGCGAGCTGTCAAGTTTTTAAATTTATTTCCTGAGTTAAACTGGGAATGATTCATCTGACCAAATAATTTAGCTAGCATGTAAGTCCCAAGTTTTTCTCTGTTTGGAATTCTGTGTATATTGCTTTTGGACAGGTTACATTAAACAGTGTTTTTCAATCGCTAGAGGGGAAAAAATAACCACAACTTTCTTTTTCTCTCTCTTTCCTTCTCAGTTCCCAGCACAGGTATTCTACACCTCATGCCTTCACATTCAACACATCAAACCCTTCCTCTGAGGGCTCTCTTTCCCAAAGACAGCGATCTACATCCACACCAAATGTCCATATGGTTAGCACTACAATGCCTGTAGACAGCCGGATAATTGAGGTAATATTGGTAGGGAGGGAATAGCATAAATTTAAACTAAAATCATGACTGGCCATCTAATAGTCACTGGTTGGTGGTGGTTCTTTGCCTTCTGTCACTTGCTTACTGTTTGCCTTAGCTGGCTGAGAGATGAAGAATATAGGTGACACATTTTCATAGAAAGTTAATAGTTCATTCTTGCAGTCTTTATCAACTATGCTGAAGTTCTAGGTAGATTTTTGGTGTCTGTAAAGATGTGGGGAAGCTTAACAATCAAGTTTCACAGATCTGTAAAGAAAATAAGCTGTTTTGCTGAAGAAGTAAGTAATTGTTAGACGTGTCTAAAGATCTGGGTTTGGGGGGGGGGTGGCTGGTGTTTATTTTAAATCAGACTACAGGTACTGTAAGTCTGGAGGTACTTCTCCAAGTTGGAATACTTAAGTCAAAGCTTAATGGCAGTATGTTTTGTGTTATACCAGTATGGATTTAACAGCAATTGTAGGCTTGTGTGGTAGAGCTATCTGTATCTGAGAATATTTCTACTGTTACTTTCAAGCACTGTTTTGTTTTTTTTGTTTTTTTTTTTTGTTTGTTTGTTTGTTTCCCCTGCCCCCCCCCCCCCCACCTACCTTAGACTGACAGTAGTGAGAGACAGCTTGTTGAACTCAGGCCTGAAGTGTTAGGTTGGGTTGTTTTGTTTTGTTTTGTGGTAACCTTAACAAAGGGAGTGGTGTGCAGGAAAGGCTTGCAGAAAGAAAGTGCTGAACTGTAGGACTTTGCAGAGAGCGCTGTTTGTGTTTTTGCGCTGGAATAGTTTAAAACCCTTTAGGCCAAGCAAAAGCCTTTGATGGCCGAGTTAACTTCCATTGTCAGCTTGTAGTTTGCAGGCTTCTATGAAACGTGAACACTCTCTGAAAGGTGCTAGAGAAGTTCTCTGGACCTTTGGAACTGAAGAAGAGTGCACTGCAGCCCCGTGAAGCCCTTTGGGTTAGAAGCTTTGTGTCAGCTGGGTTTTATGGGGAAAGGTACCCTCCCTTTCTCTTGGTTTTCTTAAGCTTACAGCTTTTATTTCTACTTCAGAAGCCTGGCTGACCATCTTTTATGGCACGAAAAATAATGAAGCACTCAGAATACAAATTATCAAACTTCATAATGTGATGAGCCTTTAAGGAGACACTGCTTTCTTTATCCTTTACGCATAGCAGTAAAGACAGAAATGCTTTCTATTCTGGCTCTTTGTAATATCATAGGGACTGAATAAAAATAGCTGTCATGTCTTAAAGGCAATATCTGCTTTTGCAGAAGTCTTAAAAAAAAACCCCAAAACCCACACCACAAAAAAAGGTAGTAGAGACCTTCTAGTATGACATGAGAAAGGCCACCTTAATAAAGGGCTTTACCAAAGGACAGATACTAGTGAACTTCTGGGTTTGGACAGGAATACTTACTTTAAAGTTTTACTGCACTTAATTATCATCTATCAAACAAATCAGGTTTGCTTTTTCTTTCATTTATCCTAACATTTAATTTTTTAATTTTTTTTTTATACTTCCTCTGTTCTTTTCTTTTATCTCTTACCGTGTTGGCCTAGAATAACAGCCTGAATGCTTCTCCCAGTTCCTGGTGCAGACGATTTTGTTTGAGGGGAAGAGTAGGTATTTTCTTGGTGCCTTTTGCTTTCTTGTGATTAACAGAATTGCTATAACTTGTAAGCCATGGCAGTGTCCAAATGAAATGTTTAATCTCAAGTTGATTTGGTATAAATCTTTATAGCATGTTTATACTGAAATATTGAGGACGCTAACTGGAAGAGGCAAATTGATAGGAGAGCTTCATTTGTAGTTTAGCTGGATGAATCCATACTGCTATGAAATTTGGTGTGAATTTGAATAGGCTTGAGTTAGAGATGCATTTGGTCACACAGTTTTTAAAGCGAAACCTTCTCAAACACATCTGTGGTGTGACTTTTTCCTTCTGGAAGCTATTTTGTAGAATATAACTGTATAAGCCCCTTAGATTAAGAACATGATGTACTATTTTTATTGCACATCAAAGTAAAGTTGACAGACGACAGCACTGTGTGTGGTATTCGTGTTGTATGGTTCACTTGCTGCAGGATTCATAAGAAGAAAACACATCAGGATTGAAGTTCAAAAATACTTTTTTCTTAAATAAGAATTGCATACACATAAGTATGAGAAGAATTTTAAATTAGTTATCCTTTGCCAGCTTACTTGAAAGCAGTTACATTCTCATGCCGATATACAAAAACCATCACTTGTTATTAATTCAGGTTCTTAAAGATTTCTGTTGTCCTCAAAATGGACAAAAGCAGTAACTCGCAAGAGTTCTTAATTGATAGTTTATGCAGATCTTAGTCCACTCGGGTGTAGAGTAGAGGTACCCTGCAAGAATACTGTATATCGAGTCAAGCCTGGGAGAATGCAACTAACAAAAATGATGTTTTTCATGAATGAATCTTTACTAAGGATAATCTGAGTTAATTTGAAAACTGTGTGGTGGTATGTAGGCTCGTTCTGTCGTCCTATGAAATTTTACATTTATTATTCTACTAATTAGTTAGAAAGTTTGAATTGACTTCTATTAACCTTGACAGTATTTAACATTTCTGTAGTGCATGTTCTTGCTTTGTACTTATACAGTACCTGGATATTTTACCTTTCCTGTATGTACTTTGGGATAATACATAGCAGGTGAGAAAAGTTGTAAAGTCATGTTTGTCAGAGCTTAGTTTATCTTGTGCATGGCTGTAGAATTGTGTTGTAAAGTGCCTGTGGCATGAGATGAGAGTTGTTGTACTGTACCAACTAGTGAACTGTGTCAGAACATGCTTTTCAAATATCATCAAATTTTAATCTGTGGGAAAATGTTTTGGAAACTAGATGTTTTGTATTAGGGAACTAGAGGTAGTCTTTTTTGGGTTGAAATAGTACGGTAGAGATATTTCAAACTGTATATTGACTTGGAATATTTTATGGGCTTTTAGAAGTTTTCCCACTTGTAACCCAAAATCTCCTTGAGAACTTGTCCCCTAGAGATACAGGACCATCACAGGAGCTATGTTCAGATCTGAAATAGAAGCATGTACAAAAATCCAGTGGTGGGAATGCAGACAGTATTTCTGGTGGTTTTTTTTTGTTCTGTGTCATCTTTTCTTTTCTTTTTTTTTTTAAACTTGTTTTGGTAGTAATACCTTTTAATATGCTGTGAATATTTTTAATGTTTTGTAAGAATTCACAAATTGCATGTTTTTTAGCATATAGGATTCTTGTAACTAGAAAATAACCAAGCTGTCATCTTTTGGAGGGTGTTGGTCAGTACTGTATCGCACTTGACCAAAAATGTCAGGAGTGATTTCGACACTATTCCTGTTTGTTCCTTTGTATGCTGTCATATATTTATTAAGCTTATTATCTGTCTTCTCTGTTTTAGGATGCAATTCGAAGCCATAGTGAATCAGGTATGATTTAAAAAAATACAATAATTTATAATATTATTTTTTGTTTATTTTCTGCTTCATAAATAGTTTTTCTTCTATTTTTATATTTCAGCCTCACCTTCTGCTCTGTCTGGAAGTCCTAACAATATGAGCCCAACTGGCTGGTCTCAGCCCAAAACCCCAGTCCCAGCCCAAAGAGAGAGAGCCCCTGGATCTAATACCCAAGAAAAAAACAAAATTGTAAGTACGGTAGGTTATTTTGTTGTTGTTTTTAATATGTCAAACTAGGCTGGGAGTAGTGATGTGTTGGGATAAACTTCTGTACTTAAAAGGCAATGAAAACTGCTGGCAATCCTGGATTGCTCTGCACTGTGTGTATATAGTAGCAATATAGTTTTAACTAATTTGGGAAAGACGGCACTGCTGCCTTGGGTTATAAATACCCAGAACAAAGTGTTCTGAATTGAAAATTAATTTCTGACAGTATTGTGAAATTATTTTTCAGTACAGATTCAAGGATTACCTTTCTAAATCTTTGGAGGCTGCGTCTTTTTTATTCTTTTTTATATGCTTAAAGTTAGCTTTATTGTCTCTATTTGAACTGGATTGCTATAGCTTCCATAGAAGTTGGATATTGATAAGGCCATCATTTTCATAGTAAAGTTAGTCGAAGTGTCTCAGGGAAAAATAGATTTAACAAAAAACAAGTTTTCCCTCAGAGGCCTGATTTAAGCTTAGGCGTGGGGGAAAAAGAAAGAAAAGTTAGAATAATAATGAATAATGTCTCAAATTTTTTTGAAGGCTTAAAAAATTCAAATATGGAAGTACAGTTGGTTAGTGGGACTCACAGTTGCTAATCACTTAGACGCTTGAGAATTCTGCTCTTATCTCTTTGGTTTATTCCTTTTAAAAGTGTAAATGATTCCTGAATTTTAGTATTGTAAATTTGAAAAAGTCAGTAAGTTTATTAAGAATTTCGGAAGTCTTTAAATAGTTGATTATAAACTCTCTGAAGATCTAAGGTCAGGGTTTAAGTTTCTAGTGCAGAACTTAATGAGAGCTTCTTAATCAGTTGAAGCCATCCAAGAAAATATTTTTGGTTTTTTTTTTCAGTTGTAAACAAACCCACCACCCTTCACAAATTCAGGAGAACAATGAAAGTCCAAACCTCAAGGTTTCAGTGCATCTTAAACTTGTACGAAGGAAATAATTTCATTCTTGGTGTGTGTGTGTGTATATAATATATTTGATTAAATACTTAGAGTAAAAACCATGTCAACTTCTGTTACAGAGGCCTCGTGGACAGAGAGATTCCAGTTACTACTGGGAAATAGAAGCAAGTGAAGTCATGCTTTCTACCAGAATAGGGTCAGGTTCTTTTGGAACAGTTTACAAAGGCAAATGGCATGGTAAGTTCTTGACAAATGTTACTGTCTTCTCAGAATGTTGATATGGTAGGACAGCAATCCTGAAAAAGGTAAAATTGTTTTAATGGTGATGTGTGCTTATCTACCACCAAAGGTACTAGTTGAGAAATACTAATTTCCTAATATTAGAAGTGGGGAAGTTAAGGCAAAGAACAGACATCAAAACCTGAATCTCACAGCTGCCATCTACGTGTTCTCTCTATTGGAGCCAACAGTTTTCTTTATTACCATGTTCTACAATAGCTTGTTTTCTGAAAAGATTTTGCTTTCCTTTAGCAGAATTAGCTGGGAAATTTCACAGCCTGATGTTAAATCATATTTACCTTTTTTTTTTTTTTTCCTTCTTCTTTGCAATACCACTGTGGTTTAATTAGCATACTTATACTCAAGGTAACAGGGAAAGGAAATAAGCATAAATTGCTTTTACTGTGGAGTTTTTCTTAGGAAAAAATGGTTGATGTGAGAGTTTATGATATAAAGTTATTTGGAATACTTTGAAAAGAGGCACACTGTAGAACTACAGAATTAGTTTCCAAAGTCAGGCTTGTGATTTAAAAAGAACTAACACGCAAGCCCCTCCAGGCGCTAATTTAAATAAAATTACTGTGATAACATAAGCTGACCAAAAAATTCTGGAAGCTTATCTTCAACCTTCTATTTTTAAAGAGTAAATATTTGCATGTCTTAAAGCCCAAATATTGTCAACATCAATGGATGGCTTATTCTTATGCTAAAAGTAATATTTGTGAACAGTTAAATTGATTTTCATTATGTAAGTGAAATGGAACACAGAAATCAAGAGGAAAACTAGGTTAAGTAAGATTTCACTAAACGGGGCGATAAATGAGAATTCTCATTTATTTTATTTTTTGTATTTATTTTAATTAAACATAAATTTAAAAATAAAATTTATAAAAGATATTTTAAATTTATATTTTAGTATAAAATACTGTTAATATTTATTTTAATGAAAAATTTGCCATAGCAAGAACTTTGTGTTAAACACAACTCTGTTGTGTGCACAAGATGGCTGTATAGCTGTCTCCTAGTTTGGCATCGATAAGATTCAATATCTTCCTTTTGGTAACTGTTTATAGTTTGCCTGATTTCTCAGGAAATTTGAAGTTAAATTACTAAAATGTTTTTTTGGTAACCATCGTTTGCGATGTGGTCTTAAAAGGTTTAAAAGTTTATATTTCTTGTGAGTCTTTTCTGTCTTGAATTGAAGAAACTGGGAGTTCACTGTGCAAATTAGGGAGACTTTTTTTGTAGAAATCTATTCTAATAGTACAAATGCAGCAATAAAAACGTCTTGGTGAAGCTAAATGAAATTAACTGAAGTGAGCAGACTGCTGCAAACTTAAGTAGAAATTCTAGATTGTTAGAGGTGTTGTGTTTCCTAACGTGCCCAACTACGAAGGGCTGTTGGCAGCGAACCTTTGGAGAGCACGAGTGGAGGGTTGTGTACCACTGTGTGCAAACCATATTAGGTTTCCAGTAACCTTCCCTGACTTAGTCTTCCAAACCAAAAATGAAGTGTCAAGGACAGTCTTTCTCTGGAGTGCGTGTCTTGGTGAACAGGTATCTTGCACTTCCATATTTTTCCAGATTGTTCTGATGGTTAAGTACTAATTTTTCCTATTTGCACCACTTCTGTTACAGACCCCATTTGGATCCTGTAGTGTCCTGTAGCATGCTTCTAAATTAAAAAGGCGGAAAGAGAACCAAGGCAGTTTAAATGGGTTGGAAGACTACCTATCATAAACACTCACATTTCCCCTTTGACCCTGGTAATCAGTTCTAGGGTTTTGGTGGTTGGGGGGTGGCGGAAGCTGATTTGTCTTCAGATTGTTGCTAAACAAAACAAGTTCTATTGTGTATTTATTTCTTTAGAGAAAACTGCTTGGGAAATGCCATCAAGCCTAAAAAAAGTGTGGCCCCTGATTCAGTAAGAACAGTGTAAGGTTACAAACTTTTCATCTGTGGAGCAAGGATCATAATGGAGGATATATTGAAAATTGATCTGAAAACATTTGGCCGGTGATCAGTGGATGCTGCATCCTCACCTTGTCTGGGCATAGCTCATAGCAATATACTTCAAGTATTGGTAGGCCATCTGTTGGTCTCGCATGGTGTGTCAAGAGGAGTTGCAGTAGGAACTGGCTACTTGGAAGGCTGTGATTTTGGTAGTCACAGGAAAGTGCAGTCTTTCTACCAGTTACATTCACCGGGTCTGCTCTGTAAGCAGAGAGATCTGTAAGTTATAAAACATGATGCAGACTGCAACTGCGAGATGCTAGAGGATGAAATGGGAAGTATATTGCATTTGCTGAAGTTAAAGCAAGAAGATAGAAATACGTAATAATAATAATGTGTTCAGTATTTGTGCATCCTTGACTTCAAATTCTACAGCGGATTACGCAACTGGTAACTATAGGGGAAGATACTGCAGTTCACTCAGGCTCCTCTGAAACTTTCAAGTGCCAGTTTGCATATCCTTCTTATACTTTGTTGACTTTTTTTTTTAACTGAGCAGTTAGTATTCTTAATTATACAGTTGATCATTATATTCTAGAGACATACTAACATATTTTTCATATATATCTTTGAAGAGAGACCATATTAAGAAGAAGAAAATTAGTTACCGTGTAGCAGAGAAATCTGTTCCTCTAGGGAGTTTTTGAATGTAGGTGATGATTCTGCAATGTGGCAGCAGCCTTTAAACTCTGGGATAAGCCAATGTTGAAGTATAACACCTCTCAGATTGTTGTACTGCATAGGGACTAAGATTGAAGTTTCAGTTCTCCCAAGCTGCTTTCACCTTCCTGTGACAGTGTCAAGGCAAGTTTATCCCCCTCTTGAATTCTAAAATGCTGTCCATCCACAGCTAAAATGAACGTGATGCTTGCTTGCTTCTATCACTGAGGAGTCGTTGGGTCTTGCTGTTAGTGCTTTTACTTTTGGTAGAACACTCAGCTTCGTTCCACTTTGGTACCTTTTTGGAATCAGTTCAATTCTGCTGTTTTCTGGATGTACGCTGTGTAAAGGTTTTTACAACTTCATTCTCTGGAAACAGTCTCTAAACAGATAGCCCTGGATCTTCTATATTCCTCTCTGTATTGCCCTGTGACAGATACTGAAATTTAAAGCAAGCACTGACACTGAAAGCAATTCAATTGAAACTTTTAAGTAAAATTTTATAATGTATCCGTTTAAAGAACAGCAAGATATTTTGCTTTCTGTAGTCCCCAAATATGTTACTGAAATAGTAAAATCAGTTGTATCATTCATGATATTTCTGCTATTCCTAGATAGAAGATTTATCCCTCCCATTCCTGAAATTTAGCAATATTTAAATCTAGAAAGTTTGTTTTTTAAATAAAGTTTGTATAAAAAAAAGGATGTGTGTCTATATACGTATATATAGTTTATATATATATATAAACTTTAATATATAAGCTTAATTATATAAAAATACAGAGGTGTATATTTATGCGTGCTAAAGCTGGGTAGAAAAGGGAAAGTGATGAAACTGCATACTGTGTGGAAGCTGAGAGACTCTGATGTGACTGTGCTTGAAATAATGTGCTGAGAATGCATCTATACTAGAATACTTCCCTTTTCAACAACTATTTGAGACTTCAGTAGCTTCATACCCTGCAAAAAGCATGTGTGCAGTTCTAGCCAGCCATAGCTGTTAAAAAACAGAAGGGAAGCACGTGACCAGTTAATGACTTTTTCCATTAGACTGAAATTCAGGTAAATGAGTTGCTTGAAACTGTGGAAGTTTATATGTCTGCAGGAAAATCTTGACCTATGGACAAATTAGCATAGGTATACTGTGCACAAATTAAGAGTTTTAAGTATACTGTATATTAATGTTATTTTGGCCCCAAAAAAAAGGTGCATTTTTAGTAATATTTATGGTAAATGTATTTTCAGGGGATGTAGCAGTGAAGATACTAAAGGTTGTAGATCCAACCCCAGAACAGTTCCAGGCTTTCAGAAATGAAGTGGCTGTATTAAGGTGAGTTGAGAGTTTCATTGCTAAATTCTGCCATTTTGCCCCATATTCTACATTTGATGCACAAAAGCACATCTCCTGAGAAGAATAAAAAAGAGAGCGTGTAGTGATACTTCTGAATATTGTTGTGGAGCTGTGAGACAGCAGTCATAATTCAGAGTATTTCAGTGGTTCTTCACTGTTTCTGAAAGTCATATTTTCGAGTAAATAATACAAACATCCATAACTGTTCAGGTCACATTTGGCATGTAGTAAAATCTGAAGATTAATAAATGTTGCCGTAATTCTCATCACCTGACAGAATACTTGAATTGCAGCATAATTCCACACATACCCCCCTTTTTTTAAATGTATACTCTGATCTCCGTAACTGTTTTGTGGTGTCCAGTTACCTATCTGTAATGTTAATCCTGAAAGTGAACCAGTTAGAGTACCTAAGAACTATCTTCTCATCTTTTAATTCCTTCACAGTTTATAATGACCCTTTAGTTTCCTATTGGGATTCAGTCTTCTATCTAAAGTTGTCACTGTTGTTCCATTAACTTTTTCTAATACCACTTTGCAAGTATGCATGTTGGTTACTAAATTCAAACCCTTTGAATTTTCATGACATCTTTTTCCTAAAGGATTATTTTAAATAACTGCCTTGGAACTAAAGGAGGTATTTTAACTAAAAGCAGAAAATCATCTGATTTTATTCAAAAATTAAGACTTGGCAACTGTGGCATATTTGTATTATCTTTAAAAATGAACTTTACAAAACCACCTAGCAAAAATTTTGCAGGAAACTTGTGTTTTTAGACTCAAAAGCTGAAATACGTTCCCTCAGCCAGCAGTGCGTTTTTAAAAGAATTTGAAAGCATTTTTTGGAAAGATACTAATTTCTCTTTCTGCTACTTTCTATTAGGAAGACTCGGCATGTTAATATTTTGCTCTTTATGGGCTACATGACTAAAGATAATCTGGCCATTGTTACACAGTGGTGTGAAGGAAGCAGTCTGTATAAACACCTGCACGTTCAAGAGACCAAGTTCCAAATGTTCCAGCTCATTGATATTGCTCGGCAGACAGCACAGGGAATGGAGTGAGTAGGATAAACAATGCTGGTTATTTTTGTTCTTGGAATGGTGTTTCCCTTCTCTTCCCCAAACCCTAATATGTGGAGTTATTGTGCTAAAATAGCATACCAAGTAAAGATTTTGTGCAGCCTGAATTCAGCACTGTTGTATGCTTTCTTACTTTCATTTGGTACTTTTTTTTTTAACCCGTGGATTCTTGCTTTAGTTCATGTTAGACCACCAGTCACTTAACAGTCAGCTTTTCTGTATTTTTTTCTTCCTTTGTAGCTTGAGGTATTACTGTAATGCACTAGATAAGATCCTATTTTAAACATAGAATGAACTAGTTGTTGTTTGTTTTTTTTTTTTTCCTTCCCCTTGTTACTTAATATGATATTGCAGTGTTTGGCAAACACTGATTTATACTCATGGTACGTCTGTGAGACAAGGGAATGGCTGTTCCAATTCCACAGCTACAGGACTCACACATGCAAATACATTTTGGAAGCATTCTGCAGATGCCTGGGTGGATGCAGTGAGCACCTCACTGCTCCCGGGACATGTTAATGTTTGTAGTGTAGAAGATGCTGATCCTGGCTGACCCTGTCAGTGCTCATCCATTTTGTAGGTCAGGACCCAGGTTTCCAGTCAGACACCCAGTGTATTGTGACTGCAAATTAAAACAGTTTGTAACAAGTAAACCTTAGGATTGCATACAAATTTCATACAGATGAGGACAGCACCTGGTTTTCTAGTGCATTATATAGTTCCATAACAATGGTGCCACTCTTTCTCTTCCTGGGATTTACTTGCTGCATTGCTTTCTGTAATGCATAAGGCAGCTGTCGTCAGCTAGCGCTTGCTCTATTTCTCTTTTTCTAATGTAGATGCATCCTGTAAATTGACTAAGGCGAGAGGTCTGTGAAATGGTTGAGTATGTAATAAACTGTCACAGTGTCTATCAGTAAATGGAAAGGCTAAGTTTATGTCAACAGCCCTCATAATGGTATTTTTATGCTTTTTCTTTCACAGCTATTTACATGCAAAGAATATTATCCACAGAGACATGAAATCCAATAGTATCCTTTCCTAACTTAATCATATTTCCTTTAATGTGATAGTGATCTGTTGTTAATACGGAGCTTTCTGAGGGGTTGAAATAGCTGTTTCAAATGTATATAACTACTACTGAGTGATTCCTATTGATGACTAAGAAGTTGCTTTCTAGCAAGGACTTTCATAGGACATACGTGCTTACTTACCAAACTTGTGATAAAGATGAGAAAAGATGCACAAAGGTTGTGCTTCAGAAATGTCTTATTTTACTTAAATGGTGTTTATGCAATGTTATCCACGTGCCGTATTGGAGGGAAGCTGCGTGCTTGACTTGACAGGAGATATGTGTGTGTGTGCATGCTGAAATACGTGTGCAGATGTCAGTTTTGTTACTGTTTCTCACATATTTTTAACAAATTTAAAACACCTTCACATGACTAGCAGAAACGAAGCCAAAAACCTTACTTGAAACTTAAGAAAAGGCAACCTTTTACCACTATATTTCTTGCATAAATGCAGATTTAGTAATGTGTATGGAGTAAAAATGTGATGATGTCTTTTGCCTTTGAAAATGCCTGCTTTTGAAATGGCCAAGAGCAGCATCCATTGAGCTAGCAGCATATACTGTAACTTTCTTTCATAAAATGGAACAGAACGTTTTACAGATGTCATCATAAAAAGATATGCTGCATTCAGTAGTTCCATAATGTAAGGGGATTCCCATTTTCAGTTAAGCCAGAAATCATCTTCATACATAGGAGATCAGGGGTTTGTGATTCCTGATAACAATGACCTTTTTGTGAAATAAATTAACTTTTCTCCTGATATGGCAATGAGAACTAGGAGTCTGTCGTGTTTATATTTCTAAATCATCTTTTTGAACTTTAAAACATTCTTAAATGAAATTGTAAAATGATATCTTCCTAAAATAGCCCCAACAAAGAAGGGACTAGCTATCAATCTTAATAGACAAATCCTTTACATTGATAGGTTACAGATAGTACAGATGTGTGTATTTCCAGTTGAAATGGTTAAATCTTAATTAAATCTCAGGAGATCTGCCAGAGAACTTTATGTAAATAGAGTTTTATTTTGATATTTATTTCTACTTGTAATTGTTTTTTCTTAGTTTTCTTTTTTTGAGTTGCGATGACTTCTGTGTTGTTTCCCTGTGTGTCTCTTGACACCGGTTATTTAAGTACCTGCAGTCATTGATGTTAATTAGCACAGTTGATTTCTATCCTAACTCACTGTAAAGATACATGTACAAATAATTCTGAAACATCTGGTCTTGTTTAATCTTAAATGTTAACTCCGTAGATATGGATGTCATAAAATTACTTTTTCTCTGTTTAAGATAGGACTTGTAGCAGGTTTAAAAACATAATCAGCAATATTCTTGGATAGTTAGCTTGCATTTGTGATAACCTAACCAGACACTTTGTAATCATGTCAGAAAATTCAGAATTGCTTACTCGTGTTTTCTAAGGAATTTCTTTAACAAATGTTTAGATATATTTCTTCATGAAGGCCTCACAGTGAAAATAGGAGACTTTGGTCTGGCAACTGTAAAATCCAGGTGGAGTGGATCTCAACAGGTGGAACAGCCTACTGGTTCAATCTTGTGGATGGTGAGCAAAACATTTTGTTGCTTTTAAATAGCTGGCTTTCATTCTGTTAATACATGTTTTGCCAGTTGAACGCTATTTTAAAGCTTTCGATCTAAATGAATCGACATACGCTGTTAGTACTGTGTAGACTTCTGTTGTAGTTGTAGGACAAGTTAAAATTGGAGAATGCAGTGCTGGAGTGCTTAATCCTCCAAAGTAGACACCACTGACCTAAGGATTCTCCCTTTGGTTTTTGGAGTGAGTTCAGACACTTAGGGCAGGGACGGGGCTGTCTGTGGAGCTGCAGGGAGCTGTTCTGCGGGGAGAGGAGAGTCTCTCTCCTGCTGCCATCCTGCCCTTCCCCAGATGGGCTTGTCTCATGGGAGAGTCGGCTTTAATCTGCTTAGTGGTGGCTTTGGGGGATCGGTGAGACCCTGTCTCTTTCTCTGTTTCTCATCGTGGCCTCTTCTTCCCCTGCTCGGGACTTGGCAACATCTCTTCTCACACTTGCTGATCACCCACTGGGCAGCTCTGGCGGGGGACTGGGGAGGGGGTAGGGAGTGCTTCTTGAAGTATGGGAGTGAGCCCAATTCATCTTTGGGACAGTGGTGAGATGTTTCATATAAACCAAGATACTGCCCCACTCCTGCGCCGTACCCTGCACCAGAGGGTTGCTGTAGGCCTGGAGGCAGCTCAGAGCCGTAGCAGATGAATATCAGTTCAGGTTCTCAAGTTCCACAGGAAAGCTTGCAGAGTTTCTTTGGTAGTGCAAAGTCCTTGTCTGAGAGGACATTCCCAACAATTGTCTTTATGTTAAACTTCTGCTGGAGTTTAAAAGGCAGTTCTGCAATTTTCCTTCCAACAATCACCTGGAGAAAATCTATTTAGTAACTTTTCAAATGTGGGACTTGGGTAAACTAAGTGGAAAAAGTGAAACAGTGCCTGTTAGCAGGTTAAAAAGCATGATTAAAATTATGCAAGAATGTCTTCTATTTTGTTGACCCATTTTTATTAATACTATGCAGTTTACTTAAATTCAGCATGTAGACTGGTTGGCAATATTTTCTAGCTCCCAGGATAGGGCATGCAGCAACATTTGTGGCCTGTGTTTCAGGGAAGTGTAACCAAATAAAAATGACTTGCTGAATGCTGCATATTAGTACACTTTAAATCTTTTGATATTTAACACTGAATGAGCTGACTTGAAACAGGTTTTCCTTTTTAAAAATTATTCTTTGTTACTAGGCTTGCAGCCTTCATCGTTCAGTGAGAAAAGCCAGGAAGTGTTCATTAGGAACATCAGGATGCTTGGCCGAGATTTGTCTGCAACCTATAAAATGCACAAATCACCTGAAACACAGTTACAAAAGCAGAAACAGGTTTTTTTCTTGAAAATAAACCAAAACAAAACAGAACCACAAAAAGCCAACACTTTTTATCGCTTTCCGTAAAAGGTTTTAAAACTAATACACCTAATGGTATGACTGTATACATGAACCAGATCTTGGAAAAAAACACCAGCATTTTTGCTGTTTGCAGGGCTTTTTTCATGTTAATCATTTATAGACCATCTTTGCTGAGTTGTCATTGCATAGAAGGGGAGGATAATTCTGTTTTCTTGAAAGTTGATATAATCTCTTACTGGGTTTTTGCTGTTGTACTTTAACTAGTACTTTGCTCAGCAGTTCTGAGGGACTTTAGGGGAAAACAGTCTTAGTCAACAGGAAAGATGTTTTTATGGTTTCTATCTTGTTCTTTGACTTACTCAGTGCTGTTTCTTTTAAGTACTTTAGGTTCATAATTTTGCTTTGTTTTGCAAAGATGTGAGAATGCTCTTGCATTTCTTCCCTGATCTTCAATATATGCTATTTCCTATTTGGCTTTCACATCTCATATATATGTTTTGGTATCAATTTTACAAGAGATTAAGTCTGTATTAGAATCTTACATTTTTCCCCTTTTAACATTGATTCCTGTTTAAGAACTGATGGTGAGACTCAGACTCAGTTGTATGTGAGATGCAACAGAATTCAACAAATACAACAATAACTTTTCTAATGGTAAAATGCTCATTGAATTAAAGCGTTGCTTTTTTGTTTATTCTCAGTTGTAGTGATTGTTTTAATAAGGTGTAGGAGCACTGTTTGAACTTTTCAAGAGTCTTGGATAAGACTCATCACAGGTTTTGAGGTATCCTTTATTCACTAATTGTTGATCAAGCTCACTCTCTCTGCTTTCCAGATATTTTCCCCTTCTCTTGTCCTTCCCATTTCTAAATTCTGTTAATATCGCTCGTAACATGTTTCTTTTTTCCTCTTCCTACAGGCACCAGAAGTGATACGGATGCAGGATAGTAACCCGTTTAGTTTTCAGTCAGATGTCTACTCCTATGGAATAGTATTATACGAACTAATGACCGGAGAGTTGCCATACTCCCACATAAACAACCGAGATCAGGTAAGAAACATTCTTTGACCACTGCGTTTTATTTCTGGGCATAATACATTTGGTTGAGAAATGTAAGATGAAGAAAAATGCAAAACAAGACTTGAAATGTTGTTTACAACACGATTTGTTTCGGCAGTAAATCTGTGTAATTGAATGTTTGCTTAAATATTGGCACTGACAGTTACTCAAAGGGAAAAAAATACTCTTTTCTATAAATATGTTAAGTGCCCTGTTAATTTATTCATGGAATAAAGCTTTGGCTACATCAGTAAAATCTTGGTTTATGTATTTGTGGTTATGTGAAAGTTCCCTTTAGATGTTAAATATGCTGTTCTTATATCAGCAAGATTGCATTCTGTGCTTTTTGCTAAGTAAAAAAAAAAAAAAAATAGTAGCTGTTGTTGAACCTTTTAGTATTGAATGTTAGTTTGTATGATTTAGTCCTCAATAAACGGTCCTCTTACTAGGCAGTTAACCAGTAATTATAAAGAAGCACATTAAAGACAGAAACCTCAACTGTTCTCTTTACATGAACACTTTTTCTGGCTTAGCAAGTGTAGAGCTAACTCATTCTGTAGGGCATGAATTTAGGACTCTTAGATCTTTTTGATTTCTGTTTTGCTGATCCTCAGTTGTGGTTTGTGTTTTTTGCAGTGTGGGTTTCTTTGGTTGGTTGTGTTTTGTGTTTTTTTTGTTTGGTGTTTGTTTTTTTTTGGTTTGGTTTTTTTTTTCCAATTAAGATCTTGTAATAAGTAGTATGTGCATATAGGGGCGAACTACTAGATTTTAGTCCCTACTGTGTTATATAGTCTATATTCCAAGTAGAAATGGCCAGTTGTTTTAAGTTAAGGAAGACTTTTCCTATTTTTAAGGTTGTCTACAAATTGGGATATTTGAATGTGTTTTAATTCATAATATTGAAATTCTATGCAAGTTTTAATAATCATTACTGCCACAAAGCGTGTGACACTTGACCTTCAAGTTAAGTTTTCTGGGGAGGGATCAAATATTTTGTGGAGAACAACACTGAAACCTTATTTTAGCAACGTTTATATTGACCTTTTTTTTTTTTTTCTTCCTGAGACAACATTAGTTGAAAAAGAAACAAGAGCACAGTTAGTTCTGTTTACCCCTCTTCCTCCCCCCAATAAAACACTCAGACTCACTCCAGCCAACCAACCAACCCACCCTACCACCATTTTACCAGACAAGTCTTATCAATACTCTATAGTCAACTATTAAGGTTACTGTAAGTCTCATGAAAATCGTAAACGATGATCAGATTAACTTGGACTAAAACAGAAAACATATTTCCCAACACTGATACCATCTTTTATTGTTTGTCTCGAAACAAAACCAACCCCATTTCCTTTTTTGCAGCATTAGTTATGATTAGTTCCGATGATCTCTTTCAGCTTGCTAGCTGTACATCTCTTTTTGCAACATGTTTTACAGAGATACCTGCAAATACAGTTTTATGACAGATTAAGCTGTTGTGCCAGATTGGCTGGCCACTTATAACTGCTCAGATTGAGGATCATTTGTCACCGTAGCCTTCAGTTGAAGAAGACTGCTGTGCCATGTCCATGTCATATAGTGTCGTTGGGAATACAGTAATCCCTTCACTTGTTGAGCATTGCAGACCCCAGTGCTGCTCTGATTTAATCACGTCCTACACTACACAAAAGCAGGACCATTGGACAAATCTGCAAGGCTCTGCCGGTGTGTGTGCCGTTGGTACTCGTGTTGAATCATTCTGGGACACTAAAGCTATCAACCAGCGAAACAATTTCGACAACTTTGGTTTTCTGCTACTTGCTTGTTCTTTTTCAGATTATTTTCATGGTTGGCCGAGGGTATGCTTCTCCAGACCTCAGTAAACTGTACAAGAACTGCCCCAAAGCAATGAAGAGGCTTGTAGCAGACTGTCTGAAGAAAGTTAGGGAAGAACGACCTCTGTTTCCACAAGTAAGTGTGCTTTCTGCATCAGAGTGTTTGAGAGTATTTTATAAAGAGCCATTAGCACACAAAATATTCTACATGGATACAAGTTTTGGTTTATATAACATGTAGCCTGCTTCCTATTTTTTTCTTTATTCATATGTGCGTTTTTCATAACCCAGCTCCTTTAGGCAGTTTGTACTTCTGATTGTACACAGTTCTTGTAAAGGTCATTAAAGAATATTATGCATGCAGATTGAAGCAGTGTTAGACTAACAGTAGAGCAATTAGCTTTCAACAGCTGGCCCATTTTAGAGATAAGCAAAAAAAACCCCCAACCAACCCTAACAAAAATCAAATCTATCTTTGTATTTACGTTTTATTTTAGTGTAGGTCTAAGGGAAATGGGAGACCATTCCTCCTTTCCTCCCCCACCACTATGAATAAGCAAACAAAATCCACTGGGGGATGTAAATTCATGTAGCAATTTTTGGTATTTTTTCAAAGGATACTTTACCTTTTCCTATCACTGTGAGGATGATGAAGGTACGTTCTTATTAAATAGCTGGCATTAAATATCAGCAGATTTTGGAAAAATAACTGTTTGCTGTTACAATGAAGTATAACTTTTGTGGTTTAAAAAGTTCTCTCTAAATGTTGATTTGTAAACAGACTGTTAGGCAGAAGATGCGATTCTTTCCCCTCTGGAGGATTGCGTAGCTGCTTGTTAATTGATCACTGTCTGGGAACTAATGAAAATTAGGGTCCCATCCTCTGAAAGGCAGTGAGACTCCTCACTGCGATGAAACTGTAACGCAGAATTTGATGATTCAAATGGGGGTATTCCTAAAGAGTTGTTTTCAGTGCCTCCACATAGTGTATTGTTGCTCTTAAAGATAGGCTTAAAGCCATAATAAATGAAAGTTTAAGACTTAAATAGAAAGAGCTGCTTGTCTAACAGGCCTTCTTTTAATTTTATGTGTTTTCTTCAGATACTGTCATCCATTGAATTGTTGCAACATTCTCTACCCAAAATCAACCGGAGCGCTTCTGAACCATCTCTGCATCGTGCTGCCCACACAGAGGACATAAATTCATGCACATTAACATCCACGAGACTGCCCGTGTTCTAGGATCATGCTCCCCTTCCCTTGTTCTCTCCAGTGATGGGAAAGGAACAGAAGTAACAGAAGTTGTGCTTTTAATGCCTCAGTGTACAGGATCAGTGCCAGCAGGATTATCTGCATCCCAGTTTTAAGAACAAGCTGCTAAGGATTTCTGCAGTTTTATCCTGCAGGGACACAGCTCCACCTTGCCTTTTTCTACAGTTTCTTTTACTGGGATAGTTAACAGACTGTAAATCAAGAGATCTATTACTATTTTTTTAATAGATGCACTTGAGCCTTATTTTTCCCATACACGGAAGCGATGGATGTTTCTTTGGCAGTGTTTCTGGATTGATTTGAATCTGTTGCTAAATTGGTATTTTTTACAGCAAGGATGGCTTGCCTCGGCGTTTGAGGAAAGATGATGCATTATGGTGCTCCTTGATTGCCCCATGCCATATGCCACCTCAGGCTGGGGGAGTTTTGCCTGAAATGGGTATCTGCAAACAAGACTGAGGGAAGAGGAAAAAACTTTCTGGAAATCAGCTCCTGCCTAAGAGCTTTCATCAAGCCAATGAAATAAGTTAAAATGCTAATTCAACACGGAATAGTTTTGCAATAGTTTTGCACATAGAAGAAAAACTCTTGCAAAAGAATGGAATATATTCTGAATTGTACTGCTCAGAGAAGGAAGCTAGCCAGTCTTGCTACGGTCATCTTCAGTAACTTAAGCAGCTTACTCTGGTACTATTGACTTGTTTCTTGCAGCCCAATGAGGTGGTAAGTGCAGAAAGACAGGCTTTTGTGGCTGAGAAAAGGCTACTTAACATTATCCGTATACTTCTGCAGAATGAGCATAGTCTTCATCCCATCTGAAGCTGTCGTCCAAGAGATGCACTATCAAGAGGAAACTGAGCATATACAGTTTTATCTTGCTGATTTGGGTTTTAATTTTGTTTTTATTGCTCCTGAGAAAATGCATTTATTGTAAGCCAAGGTTCCTCTGATTATCTTATTTTAATAAAATAAATTAAATTTTAGGTTTAAGATTCGATGTCATCATTTAATGTAGTAATCCGTAGTTCTGACATGTACGTCTCGATTTGAAAAATGCAGAAAACGACATTTGGAATAACATTTTAAAAGTTCCTAGTCAAGTAAAAACACACTTGATATTACGATGGTCTTTATTCTCCTGTAATAATCTTTCAGCAGCATTTACTTATTAAGATACCTACACTGAGGTACTATCAAGCTCTTTAACTGCACCATTTTTGCTCTACGTTTTATCTCCTGTGAATCTGTTGTTTACTTAGGTAGAAGTGTTTTGTCTTGGCTGAACTCCACAGACGACAAGAAAGAGGTGGTGTAATCTAAAAATTTATTTTTTAAATTTTTTAAATTCTGTTTAAATGTGTCTATCAGGAAAAGAATGGAAGCCAAGTTTCCATTCTTGAACGGAAGCTTGGGATTTTGTGTCTTTCTCTGTGCAAACAGATAAGTGGAGGGCTCCTGTCTAGTGAGTGAGCAGGCAAGGTGTCTGTAACCACTGTTACCTCAATCTAAACAGCTGCCTAAAATTTGTTAGGCAGAATACTGTTGCTGTGAATTTTGACAGCTTAAATATGCTGCCTGTCATGTCCAAATAGCCATTTCGGCTTCTGATTTGCAGCAAGCAAGAACCCCACAAAAAGTGCTTATGGAAGGGAAGAGAAGAACTTGAAGTACGTAAGCCAGACACATACTTGAAAAATATCTGGACTGGTTTTCCTCAGAATATCATACAAGAAGGGTAGAATATTAATCCTTGGGTGATACTAGAGTGTGACCATAAAATCTGCTTGCTGAAAAGTCAGGGTTGAAGGACACTTCCATGTAGTTCTGTATGATTTTTAATAATATTCTTGGTATTTTAACTGCAACCTTCTCTAAACATCATTTATCATTTTACCTCGTAAGAAAGGGAGGGGGGGGAAGAAAGGTAAGCTGTTTTTACTTTAGCTCTGATTTCCAAAAAGAAACCATTGAGTCCTAATCTTTAAAACGGGTTATGTGTCTCTTGAAAAATTAAAATAACTTTAATTGGCTTATTTTGACCAGCACTTGATTTCAAATTAGATGAAATCTACTAAGTGAAGAATTTAAAAGGCCTGAGTTTCTTACTGCTCTTAAATGAAAACTTCTGTTTATGTTGTCCCTAGGCAGCTTTAAAAAACAAGTTATCTTTTTAATTTCAGACTACTGTTACCTGGTTTATGTCATCTTGGGGCAAAGTAAATCAGGAATGTCTTGTTTAAGGTAAAGAACATCTTCTCCATTGACACTGTTTTGGTGTATTTTACTACTGAAAATATTTCTCTCTGGAAAAAAAAAAAATCAACAAAACTATGTGTAAGACCAGCTGGAACCAAGTTTCAGGGGAGAGGCTGTGGGCTGTGTAAGTATTTTGGGGTAGAAAGTATGCCTGGGCATGTGCTCTGGAACATTTACCTTAGAGCACTACACCTCTCTTAGTGATACTTTATTTTCCTTTACCTTTGTGATTAGTGATGAAGAATTACGCTCACATGACTTAGGACCTTCCCTGTTGCCTTCATCTGCCAGTTGTCAGAAGCTGACAGCCTAAGGCCTGACTTCGCAGTAAGCATGGTTAAAAAATAACTTTGGGGGGTGGGGTGGGGAATAATTGTGGAAAAGTTACGTTTCCTCGGTCAGAACAGAGAACAAAATTGGCATGTTCAGTTGGAGGGAACTGTTGGCCAGCAGCGAGGGGAGGAGTTCTCCTTCTCCTGGTGGAACCCTGCCAGAAATGCAGGATTTCCATCCGGAATAGTTCTGGGCTTCAGTTTTGACCCAGAAATGCCACGCAACAGTTGAAGCAGTTCATCCTGGAGTTGCTGATTTGAAAGTGCCACTTGAAAATGCCTGAATCCCAGATTAAGGTTCCTGCTGTTCGTTTTACGACAGTGACCCAGCTCCTAGTTTTTAATTGTCAAAGGAGCGCCCTACTTGCTGTGCTGACAGAAGGGGTTTTGCACGAGTGTCTCTAAATATACTTTGCTTCACAATACAAATAATTTGTCTTCTCAACAATGAAGCTTTCTGAAATACTCGAGGCTTTAAGCAGACAAGCACCTTTCAAGGGTATGCGGTCTTACCCTCAAGCCGTCGCTTAAATGGGCCCTCTGCTTATTTTAAGATCGTGTGATGAATGTGCTTGAGAAAACTCTGCTTGTACTCAAGTGGTTTAATGCTGTATTACTGCGTAGCCATTTCAGTTGTGTCCAGACTGAATTTTTAGTTTAACTGCCAAGTTAATACAAATGACTTCACAGAATTAACTTCCTGTATCAGATTTCACAAATTGCAAAATGCTTTTGCAAGGCAAACGCGTATTAAATTTTTAACAAAAACTTCTGTAGCAATCCCGTTAACTGGGAGGTGTGCCTTACTACCTCACACCTCCTGGGCCTTTGAACACTGCTGGCCTTCATCTGGAGGCAGCGACCAGGCCCCTGGAGTGGGGGTGCCAGTACAGGGGCAGGGCTGGCTTCAGAAAGGGAGCTCTCGCTATGGGAGAGGTACACGGAGCTGGAAAAAGCCCCAGGAGCTACTGGCCACCCAGTTGGGTTAAGAAAAGCAGCAGCTGAAACCATGAGTTTGTTTTGTAAGTAACTCAAATTATTTGTTGTATAGGTGCAAGCTGTAAGATCACTGACGTGAGATGAGAAAATTATGTAGTTACTTCATTTAATTTTGGCTCCTTCATTGAACTGAATCAAGGTTTCCCTTCTGGTTAACTACATAGGAACTAATTAAATTGAACCATAATGTAACTACGACTACCGCAGAGACTACTGAAAGTAACTACTTACTTTCATACAGTATCCAAAATTCAATTTGTGCTGCAAGTTGAATTTAGCTGGATGCTGTGACTCCAGTGTTGCTCTGCCTGAATATATGAATCAATGCAGTTGCATTTGCTTTAGAGCGCTTGCTGTAAGAGACACTTCTGCCACTCTACACTTTAATTATTTTAAAACAAAGGTAGGAACTTGCACAGTCTGAGAGCCAGGTACTGTGCAGGCCCCACTACTGAAACACTCACTGTAAGAACACAGTAAACTTTATTCTGAACTCGGGGTACTACTTTGAGGTATAACGGATTAGTTCTTAAATCTCCTTTTTAAGGGAGAAGCAGCTACACTGACCATTATTCCCAGGGGGCTTTTGTAGATGTACATGTAGTTGATTTAGTGGAGAAAAAAAAAACAAACAAAACCCCCCACCCAAAATAGATCTAGCAACAGTTTTTAACGGCTTAAGCTTTAAATGGTAAGAGAGGAGCTGTATTTACACTACCACTCAGCTCACAAGTCAGCAGATGTTAGGCCAAAGAGGGAGAAAACCCTCTTGGGATGAAGGGGTTTTTTCCATGCAATCAATTTAACTTCTAAAATATATTTGAGCATTGCTGTTGCCATACAAAAACAATCTGAAAACTTTACCAGGACTGCACAAGTAAACCACAGGGCACATTCATTCTAACTGTGCTGTAGAAAGTAAAAGCATTGCTAAATAAATAGCTAGATTGCTACAGACAAAAACACCTTCGGTTCTCTTTATTGAGAAGTAGCAGAATCCTCCTCAGCCCCGGAGAGGTGCATGAAAAGATCTCCAAGTTCTGTTACGTCATCGTCCGTGCTGGTCACAGTCCTGCTTTCTCTGTCTTCAATAAAGTCCCACAGACGAACAGAATTGAAGAACTGGAACAGAAGAAAATCTGACTGAGCACGAACCAGTACTTGTCACACAGTTCCATCAAAATATTTTCCCTTATCGGTCATCTTCATTGGAAAAAAAAAAAAAAAAAAGGCAGAAATCCAAACGCTGGGTTTGTACTAAGATGGTCAGCCCGGTTTGCTGTTGAATTCCCAGCGCCCGCCCCTCCCTTCAGCGTTAGAGCACCACCAGGGTGAGCTCGCTCCACCCAAGGGTGGTGGGGCTGCCGGGGGTGGCCAAGCCCTAACCAGTTTTTGAGAAGGCTTTACCCTTCTGAGCTGGTCCTACTGCCACCTCCCTGCAGGTGCATGAGATGAGGAGATGAGTTTTTAATACTGTACATGAAAGGTTTGCCATGGTAAGGATTGGTTGAAAAAAAAAAAATTTTTCCTCTTAATGACTAGGGAGAGGAGAAGGCACCTTTCATTTAACTTTTGTCTTGAGGAAAACTGAGGGGGGCTTGCTTCACTTTTTCAAGGCCCTGCACAGTATGACCCATATTTTAGTAGTGCACGTTACATTCAAAATGTGGTTTTGGCTACACTTGACTGGAACATTCCCTTACCCGCACAGTCCCCTCAGAGCTGAGCTGTTTCCTTGGTTTTTCAGGTTCAGCTCTCGTCCCATCTGGATAAGCGTGAAGGTAAAGACACTTCCCTCCAAACGGGCAAGTTCCTTTCCCTTGTTCAAAGTACTTGCAGGGTTTTTTCCTGATGTAATGAGAAGAGAGAGTTACTGCCTTCAGCTAGTAAGGACTTAGACAGGGTTCACTCCCCCTCCACGTCTGCTTATCGCACCCTTAGCCAGTGCTGCAAAGTGCAGCTCCTGTTAACACACCCAGAGCTTTGATCTCCCCCTCCCTAAGAGATAGCAGTCAAAATAGATGGGAAAGGTTATTAAAAGCAGACCAAGAAATACATAAAAGAACAGCATCATAAGTCACCAAAAAAATTAAACTACCTTAATACAGGGAAAGTGAAGGATGTTCAGAGAACGTCCTTGATCCTGCGCAGATTCATTTTCATCATAATGCACAAATCTGTTCCTGTTTTTCTAGCAACATTCCTCTCCTGTATTTTCTACCCCTGCATTTTTATCAACCAGTTCCTCTCATCATTTCCCCTGGAAGTTCTATGACAATACTTGGTTAATTTAAGTTTCCATCAGTTTAGGTGTTCAGCCAAGCTGTTCTAGCTGTGTAGCAAGCTTTTATAAAGGTGTACAACAGTACTGGGCGGGGTGGGATGGGTGGATTGTTCTACAGTGAAAAACAGCTGAAGAGGAAACTACAGTGAAAATGCAATTGAACTTGTAAACTTTATATGCAGATAAGTGATGAAAATTGTTCCCAAGACACAGATACAGTCTATCACATAACAACTAAATGGAGACGAAAGCTCAGTGATGACCAAAAAAGAAAAATAAAAAATAAGTATATATAGTCAAACAACCAAAGCTCCCCAAACCAGGCAGGGCATTAAAAGCAGAATAACTTCGTCTTGGTTTGGAACTCCAGTGGTCTGTCACTTCAGGTTTCTAGGTCTGACTTTTTTTGTCCTGCGCTGGCATATAAATCAGAATGATTTGTGCTGGCATGACACCTGCTCTCAGCTTAGTCTCCACCTTATTAGCATTTTATTAGCATTTTTTCATTCCATGCAATATTAACTCCTCGAGTTAAACCGACAGCCAAGAGATCCACAGAATTTCTGTACCAAAGATGTTTTTATCTACAACACAGTGTATCAGTCTTAGCTGAGCGCTTAAGCAAACCCCCTTTTTGTATTGTCTTCTACACAAGGGGTTGACAAGAGCCGAACCCAACTTCCAACACTCCCTGACAGCTCACTGCCAGCAGCACAAGAGCTCACCTTACAGAGAGCGCGGCTGTTCAGAAACTGCACTAAACTGAGGTTTTCAAGTGCAGCTTAACTACCCTCAGTTCAAAGTCCTTATGAATTAAATGAAAAACCAAAACAGCAAGAGGTTACTGAAAACAAACCGTATCTGAAGAACCTCGGTTTCAAGGGATTCATTTTATTCAAATATTTTGCCTGACAATAAGATAAAACAAGACAAGGTGCTGGATCAAACAGCGGTCAGAGCAGTACTGCTTTCAACAATTCCTCTGTTGTGTCACAACGAGACTTTGGAGAGCTAAAGCTTCCCAAGCAGCTGAAAAGCTGGTAGCTACAGCCGTACACAGGTTTAAGTCAGGCCTGTTTGTTGCCTGTACGCCAGAGGGCACATTTAAAAGTTGGTGCACATCACAGCATAAAGCTGCGCCACCTGCAGCAAAACCGGCATCGCTCACGCGGGTCGAGCGCAGGGCTGCTCGTTTAGCTTAACAAGAGCGAGGAAGGAGATGAGTGCTGGTGTCTCACTGCTCTGCGAAGCGCAGAACCCTTGCGCGTTCCAGGCCAGCACAGCTTTGCAAAGCCACTGTAGAGCTACCTGTCAGCAGATCCCTCCAAGCACTGGGCACACTGTTACTAGACAATAAAAGGAATGCAGTCATGTAGTATTTTCCATTTCCAGG